TTTCTTTCTTTCTTTCTTTCTTTCTTTCTTTTTTTTTTTTTTTTTTACCGGTGATTGTTGTGCTTTATTTGAAAGACTTATTCCTCCTTCTTATTTTTCTCGTAGGACCACTGAGGTTCCTTTCCCAGACAGAATCTGTCACAGCCTTCATGGGAGACACAGTGCTACTCAAGTGTGAAGTCATTGGGGAGCCCATGCCAACAATACACTGGCAGAAGAACCAACAAGACCTGACTCCAATCCCAGGTGACTCCCGAGTGGTGGTCTTGCCCTCTGGAGCATTGCAGATCAGCCGACTCCAACCAGGGGACATTGGAATTTACCGATGCTCAGCTCGAAATCCAGCCAGCTCAAGAACAGGAAATGAAGCAGAAGTCAGAATTTTATCAGGTATTGCAATGCTCTTTGTTGTCTTCAGACTGATATTCTCTGGAATAAGTTGAAAAACAATTTTTTCTTTAACAGATATTTCTAATTGCTGTAAGCTCTGTATTGTTCATTGAGTTTGTTTTTTTATTATTTCTTTCTTGCTTGCTGAAGCATTTGATGAGATTGTGCCAAAAGCTGTTCTTATTTTTTTCATGTCTAGTTGTTGAAATTTCTGTAGAAACAGATATCTTTCCTTTATTCATTCACTTGTTGTAACTGGTAAGCATTTCTCACATATTTCATTTTCCTCTGTTAATAGTCTAAGAGGTAGTAGTTTTTATTCATTTCAAAGGATGAATATGAAAATTAGCAATGTTAAGAATATTCCCTAAGTCAATATTGAACAATGTTTTTATTTGTTTAATTTTTCTAGACCAGGATCTTACTCTACTGTCCAGGCTGAATGCAGTGGTGTGATCACAGGTCACTGCAGGTTAGACTTCCCAGGCTCATGTGCTCCTCCCACCTCAGCCTCAGTACCTGTGACCACAGCCCTGTGACACCACACTTGGCTAATTTTTTTGTATTTTTTGTAAAGACTAGGTTTTACCCTGTTTCCCAGGCTGGTCTCGAACTCCTGGGCCCAAACAAAGCAGTCTAGGCCTCCCAAATTGCTGGGATTACAGGCATGAGCCACTGTGCCCAGCCTGAACAATCATTTACTTGTCCATTGCTACACTCATTTCTGAGAAGCACTGTGGTAAGTACTAGGTATGTGGCAGTAAATAAGACTGTCCCAGAGTTTGGCCCATTAAAGTTCTGGGTGGACATATACATGTAAGTAATTACAATAGAGTATGATTGGTATGATGGTAAGAAAAAGTCATTTCTCTCCAACTCTTATGTTCTCTTGTCTGGCAAATCACTAAGACACTGGCCTCATTTTCTGATTCTAAATAGTCAGGGTTGGATTGGATGTTACCTAAGATCTCTTCTCTTCTAATAACCACTACTGTAGTATACCCATGTAATTCCTACTTTCTCTTTTAACCAAACTTTTAAGACTGACTTAGATGCTCTTCTGAGAATCACAAAAAAGGCACACACTTGAGTAATTGGAACTGACTACATCTTAAAGCATGGATGTTGGCTTTGGTCTCCGCACTCTTAATTGTGTGTAGTTACAACAAATACTTCAGGTATGCAGAGAGTAGCATTCCTGTAATTCTAAAAGCAAATTGGAAATTCAATTGAAAGTTTCCAGGTGCTTTAATGAGGACATCTCTAAAACTTCTTTCTCTTTTGTATATTCCCTACTCCATTAGTCTACAGGGATACTGACTTAAATGTATCAATAACTATTGGCAACACTTACATTTCATCCACTAGGCAATAACAGAAGCAAAGCTAGCATTTATTCCCAACACATACAAGCATCTATTTATGTACCCATTACATACACAAAATCTAAAATATTTATATTCATATATTATTAATAATGCATCTGTTGAGTATATCAGATAGGAAGCCAAGGTAAGATGCATATAACATTTGCAAGAATATGTTTATCTTAGTCTGACAGGGAAGTCTGTTTTCCAGTGGTATTAAGGAATCAAGTTGAACTAATGAAATATTAAATGTGAAATGCAAAGTTTTAAAAGACACATAGACATAATAATCATATGCCAATTTACCTTTATTTGTTCACCTTGCAACAGCCATTTGCATTGCAATCCACAGAGATTTATTTAAAGCCAAATTTTGTTTTACTGATATGCCTAAAATAGAGAATATGTTGTACTTTTGAGATGCATGACTATTTTTTAGCTGAATTGAAACCGATTTTTTTGTAAAGGCATCACATCAGATGAGGATTGATTTAATTCTATGAATTCGAATGTAAACCTCAGAAAAAAGTATAAGTTAAGATATTACATGCACGTGTTCCCACACGCATGCACACACACACAGACACACAAGTTACTGTCATACGTGGCTAAACCTGTCTCGTATGCTAGCTGCCAAGTAAAGAACTTGCTAAAGGAGAATGTATTTAACACATCCTCAAATTTGCAAGTTGGTTTAGAGTTCAAATTCACAGATGAACAGTAAGTACAAGATCGAGAGCATGAATGAGTAAATGAATGAATGAATGAATGGCAAATCTCTGCTTTTGTTAGTTGCCACTTAGGGTTCTCTCATTTTAAAAATCATCCTAATCCTTTCTGAATCAATGTCTACTCTCTGTAAGTACCATTTTGAGGCCGTAACAAATTAAATATATAATACATGTGTGTATACATATTAATAATACATGCATGCACATATACACATATCATATTAGCATGACTTAGGACTATTAAATATGGTGCCAGATGGTTAGAACTCTTAAAAAGTATATCTTTTTTCCAGAGTCACTAAATTACCATGTTGACTGATGAAGTTATTTATATCTTGTTTTAGTTTGAGACATCGGTAGCTGTTAATGAGAAATTTTGCAACTTTCCCCTAAATTCATTTTTACCATAGTTCATAAGAAGTGTTTGAATTTATGTATGTGTTTATACTTATATAATTATAAACGATATTTAACTTAGCATACTTACTCAAGTCTAAGTAAAACTTATTTCAGGATACCTCTTTTATATATCAGGTGTCTTCAATCACCAAGTAATGGAGGTCTATTAAATTCAGATTTTAACAGACAGTAGTTTTAAAGTGCGATCTTTCAGCACAGCTCTACTTTATTCATTAAATAAATACGTTACTGAATGAACTTTTGAGTGAATCTTATGTACCTGGCTTCTTGCTGGTTGCTAGGAATGAAAAAAGCTTACATACCCTACAAAAGCTTACAGTCATGGGGGAAATAAAGCCAGTAGGCTGAGCTGTAAAAGAAGAAAACACGGAGCACCATTGCCCTCATAAGAGAAATACCAACAAGTAGTAGCTAGACAAAGAGAAATATACACCATGGGGAAGAGCATCATGCGCAAAGCATAAGGAAAATAGAGATCAAAAGCTTTTCAGGAGAACTGCATATATTCTGTTTGACTGGCTCAAAGGCAGGAAGCGATAAAAGGGAAGAAGCTGGAAGGAAGCGAGTTAAATGGTAAGGAGGATGAAGTGGAATGCTACAACGTTCATCCTGGAGAGAACTGACCAAAAGCAGCTACTAAGGAAGAATCAGAAAAGATCCAGAAATGAAGATGTTTGGTCCTGGAAACATACCACATGTGGTGTATGGGTGAGGGGATGGAATCCAGACTCTGATGAAAGCTGGTTAGTAGCACTGTTCATTGAGACTGGAAGTGGGAGAGTAGTGTTATTGTGTTTAAAACAAATTACAGATTATTTAGAAGATATTTCCCATAAAATTTTATCTCTTTCAGATTAAAATAATTCTTTGTTTCATTCAAGGTAAGAAAATTAGTACCTAGTTTCATTTGTTGATTAATGTTTTAAGACAAATTGAATTTTTGCTTATAGAAATTACACATGTGTAACAGAATCAGTAACAAATTGCTCTAAAGTGTTTTTAAAAATTTCAATAACAAAACACTAAGTCATAGTTGAGATGTTTTAAAATGTCTTACTGTGTGCGATGGTGAACATATGATGAACTGAAGCAGCTATTGTGGTTGTCAAGTTCACTTTATTCATGTCGCATCATGTCTGAGTGCCAAGAAGGAGATTGAATTGAAGAATTATAAATCTGGTTTGGGCACTAGGTTGACTAAAATTACTGGCTTACACAATGGAATTCCTATTTCAGTTTGCTTAATGGCCTAATTGAATTGATCAATTGGTAATTCAATCTATTGTTCATTTGTTTAACTACAATTAGATGACTCTGAGTCCTGTATAGACTTGAACTAAATATGTATCTAATTAGAGTCACTGGCTTTTAAAGAAATAAATTTCACTAAAATATGGCATTTTTCTTTATAATTTTTTAATTGAAATACATATTAGCAGAAACCATTCTAAAATACATCTTATTTGAAAGGAAAATCCTACCTTTAGTTTTAAAACAAGTAATTTTAGATTTTTGTTCATCACTAAGAATTTGTTACTCAATGGTACATTAAACTTTTTAGTTTTAATAAATATTATATTTCAAAACTAATCTATTTTCTATATTTTCTGTAAAAATAGATTGTAGTTACATTATAGAAAATAGATTCCATTTTTATGGATTAGTGATCCATATAACAAAAAGGACACATTATTTGCTTTTAAAATGTATTATCAAGCCGGTTAGTTAATTCATGTAGCCATATGACTAACATAAGGTAGAGAAGGGCAAATTCAGGCACACAAATCTAGTTCCAAATGAACATAGACATGGAACTAATTGGGAAATCAGAAGGTTTTTTTATAGATTATTACTTTCATAGATCGTAAGGGAAGAACTGTTTATAGAATGATTCCAGTAGATGATAAATCTGGAATGAGAAGTTGAACTCACTGTATGGAGATCCTGAAACTCCATGCCTAGGAATTTAGACTTGATTCTATTTGTTGACGATTGAGCATCACTGAAGGTTTTTGAGCAATGAATATATGACGTAAACATACACCCCAAAAGCAAAAGGAAGTGAACAGCATATTAAGCTAATGCATTACCTGATATTTTTCTCTCATAAAGATTTTCTACTACATTGTAGGATTTTCTCATAGTGTGCTTTCCTTTTAAAAATCTAGTTTGAATAAAACTTTTTCTTATACCAGGGAATAAACAGAGTACACTTAGCCTTTCATAGATTTAAGATGGATACAATGGTTTCTTGTGCTCCTCTCACTTATACTGGGAAAAAATGAAGTATGTGATCATATTGTATTTAAGCCATGTGAAGTCCATGTTTCCTAGATATATCAGATTTAATTCAGATGGCATGAAAAGTCTGCATATGGACTATCACAACCCATTTCCATGGATTATGCTCATTTTGACTTCATATTGACCAGTTTACAAATATTAAAAATTCCCAATTTGAACTACTGTTATAATCAGTGGT